ATCAATCGGGTCAGTGAATGGCTGACACTCACCCACGGTGTGCCACACATACACATAGCCTCTACGTCTCCAGTCATTGGTCTGAGGAAAAGGCTTTCCATCAGGGAAAACATTGCACCTCTTCAGATCTGTACACTTCCCAAAGCCATAGTCATCCAACCAGGATGTCCAGTTTAACACGTATCCTGAACGCACATGTCCATTGGCTGGAAAATAAGTGACGGTTTTAGACACACAGATGAAAAAAGCATTTCTTCCTTTTTTGGGAATATAAATGCAACCTTTTAAAATACAGGTCATTTTTTTCCTTGCAATTGTACATTGTTTAGAGATTACAGGGGTATGAAGCACCTGAGGCCTCCATCATACCGTCCCCACAGTGCTCATCATACACCAGGTTGCCGCTGCTGTCCTCCTTCTGGCATGGTGGAAACTCCAGAGCTGCAGTGAACGAGATGCACGAGCCGTTCATTGCAGGACTGTCGCTCGTAAGGCGCACCCTCGGTGGTTTATCTGTGAGAGAGCATTGAAAGATTAGCGTGTGGTCATTCCTGTCATGCAGCACATTTTTCTGTCCCCATCTTGTATGTGTTAATATAGTAATATATATCAATCTCTCTTGCCAAGACAAAACGGGGAACATTCAACAACTTAAGAAGGAACATAAGGTTTTTCATTTAAAAAAATATTTAAACATCTGAAATATTTACACAAACTCAAATAGAAATTGATTAAAAGAGGGTTTACACAATTTTTAAAGGAAAAAAAAATGAAATATTCAAGCCTTTTCCCCCTTAATTCCTCTAATCGAAATGTTTTAAACAAAACATGTTTTCTTTAAAATATTGTTTAAATTTGTATTTTTTTTCCCCAACTGTAGTCCTGGTATGACTTTCCATCCTGTCAAACTTTTGTACTTTAACATACTTTAACCAATGCTCTGATTGTCCAAAATATTTTTTATGATTTCTCTTTGTGTTATAAACACATTATTTTTGGGTTTTATGCTAAAGATAAGAATCTATTTAATGCAAGTTTTTGTATAAACCTCCTGTTATTTATTGGAAAGTTTTATGTCCATAAATGTAAATATACTAAATGTAAACCCCACTTTAACATCTTCAGACAATAACTAAAGTTGTATTTAAATACAATTTCAAAGTCTGTTAACAAGAAAGCTATAAAAACATCTAGAATTTGTGCCATGTTTAAGATTTTTCCCTAATATACTTGTATTTCTATTTGTGTGCCTTTTTTTTGTTTTGTTTTTTTTTCTTTTTTCTTCTGTCCTTTTCTTAAGAATTTTTATATTATATTGTGTTTTTTTTCTGTGATGTTTTATCTATTAATCCTCAAGTAGTTTATTATTGATTGGTATTTTGTATGTTTTGTACGTACTGTTTTTTACTGTTTGTTTTGTACGTACTGTAATCTTTGTTTTTTACTGCAATAAAAAAAAAAAAACATACTTTAACCAATGAGATCATCGTCCTCCTGGACGGAAGTGACATCATAATTGGTGGTTAAAAAAAAAAAAAAGCAGCACAAATAACTAAATATTGGCGATCTGATTAATCAGTGTGTGGTATTAATTGGTTTGTATCGCTCTAAAACGTTCTATTATGTTTGAGAAAACTACAGAAATTATTTAGACAAAGTATTATCTCGCCATTGTGTAAAATGTATTTAATAATCACGTTATAATTAATATATTTTGAGTACCCGAGTTTGTATGGTTTACACTTTAAAAAAAAAAAAAGTTTCCTATTTATTCTGTATTTTTGCGTATGTTACGTGAATCAAACTTTACTAGGCTACATAGCGGGAGACTCTTACCATGTCTGCGATTCAGCTGTTGTTTGAAGTATGGATACAGAGATTCGTCCCAAGGGTTCGTGTCCGGTTCCCATCCAGGGATTGGGAATGGAAAAGGGAGTTTGTGTTTGTGAGGGAACATGTCACCATAGGCTGCACGAATGACAGGGGGGAAATACATCGTGAAAGCCTTCTGAACTGACACCTCGATTACCCAAAGATTTCGTGGCCAAACACGAAGTAGCCTAAATAAATGGACTATAGTTTACTTGGATCAGGCATTTTAAATTTCGTAAAATATAACAGGGAAAGCTGGGCTTGTTACTTTCTGCTGGGCTGTATATACAGAAACAGACATAAACCTAAAAAAAAGTCAACCCACTCTGAGAAATATTCACTGCAGGAGAGAAAATGTGACAACTTGCCCCAGGCTCCCCTGAAAGGAGTCTTGAAATGCGTTTAATTTACGCACTTAAATATTTAAGCTTATTTGCATTATATGCTTATAGATACTTTTCCCCCCCCGAAGTAAGATACTGAAAAAATCTGTACAGTCTGGTGGGTGAACGAAAGTATTTTCTCAAGACTCTGGCTATACTCTCACTATACTCTCTAATTAGTTTCACGAGACTGCAGCGCGCGGAAGAAAACAGCCCTATCAAAACATTTAAGTTATGTATATTTGTTTTATTACTCAATCTCGTCGGCTTTTTATGAATTTAGACATTAGCATCAATTTTATAGTCTAGTCTCTATAAAATAGTTTAGTTTTAGTGGTTTATATAAAAATATGTTATAATCTCGATTTAACAATCGCTTGTCAAAATTATTATAAAAATAAAATAAAAACGTAACTACCTGCTTTAAAATGTAAGATTTATAAATATTCACTGCTGAAAAAAAAAGTATTTTCAAATGAATAATTTCGTTAAGCAAGTTACTTACTTTTTTTGCTGTTCGTTACAGGAACGAACAACGCCCAGACCAGCACAAGTAACATTCCCGAATGCATCAAGTCGATTTGTTGGATGTAAATACAAATACAATTTATCCAAGGGCTTTTTTCTTGTATGTCCTCGATCTCAGACCCCTCAACGCTCTGTTGCTCTTGCTCCCCTCTCACAGTCACCCGCACGAGCTCTTATTTAATACAGCAAGCATGTGACGTTTCTGTAACAAGTCTCATCTGACACTTAATTAGGATCTATGGGCGCGAGCTGAGAGGAGAGCTCGGAGTCTCATGTTGTTACTTTCCCCTTGTATTTCGAAACAGGCAATTTCAAAATCATCTCATTTATCTCCGATTGTTGGCTTTATGCTTTATGGTCTTGTCTAACACAAATGGTGCACTGTAGCTTATATATTATCCTCTATGAGATATCCTTGATCTGTCTCAGAGTCCTTTTTGAGAAAAGTCAATTTTTTGTTAGATATCAGGGTCAGAAATGTCAGAGAGGTTAATATGGGGATACATTTTTAACAGCCAAATCTAAAACGCATAGCTACTCCACGTTATAAGAAATCTAATCTTTGTTAATTATTTTTGAGAAACATACTAATGTCCTCAACATTCCTGACAATGGATACACTTGAGTGTACAACTTAATCATTATTAAACAAACAAAATCAAACATGTTTCAGTAGGCTATGTTTTCATATTCATGTTTTTGAATATGAATTTTTGAATGTTTTCAAAATGTTACAAACGTCACTGACTATGATTTGTGGAGAAATTTGTTTAAAATATTAGGCTAAAAAACTTCGCTGCTCTTAAACATTTATTAGGATACTCTACACAAATATAAAAAATAAAGAGGTCTGTTCAAGATAGGCTATTGTCTGTTTTGCATTTGAATAATGCGTGTTTTGAATAACTCCTTAAAGACAAAAACAATAAGCATGACAAAAAATGTCATAACTGTAGCATAAACTAAAAGTATCTATGCAAGTGAATGAACATAAAATAGTGTAAATATTAATTAATCAGAATCTTAAAAAAATGCTATGGTCTTTTGAAGTTTAGGCTACTATAAATTAAACTATACTTAACATAAACGGTATATGGATTTTATTGTTTTATATTTGTGATCCACACAATGTCAGTTGAAATTCGTATAGGCTATTATGCTGCATATTTAAAATAGCATAATTGCGTGAAAGCACTCTCAGTTGTGTCTACACGCAACTGTTTGTGCTGTCTTGAAATTAAAACTGCAAACAGTTACCTACAGCTGTCATAAGAAAAACTTGCCGTCTCGTTGCATAAGATGTTCGAGACATAAGCTGTGATTTGCACAGATCCGCGCGCTTTCAGGTGACAAGTTGGGAAACAGCTGGAGGTCAAAGGGAGGAACGATTTGGAGAACATTTCCAAAGCACAACTCCTTCTTGATTTATTTTAAATGAAGACTAAAATAGTTAGCTAAAACACAGAAACTATAACATTAGAAAACGTAAGCAATTATGAGGGTTAGCCTGTAATCTAATCATAAATAAATATCCATAAAGGAAACTGGCATGCCATCACATGCTTTGATGCGTCTCTCACGAGCTCAGTTTGAAAGTTCCTTCCCGTTTTTAATGTATAATCATAATGGCGTGGCTTTCCATGACATTCAGGACAGCACTTCTGTCCACCAGAACCGACGCTGAAAAGACAGGGGGGGGAAACACTTTAAATCACGAAACGCTTCAATAAAGAAAATGATTGCTGAAAAGTATGTGTTGACTGACTACTCTGCATGCTATTTCTAGCTCTTTCCGGCTGTTCAGGAACAGTCACGTTGCGATGTTTCCTTTGGTCAGCAGGGGCTACCGATCTCCTCACCTGCTTCAGGTGCACTTCAGAAACGCTCTTGTGTTTAATTTTGAGCAAAATATCCAATGTGTAATATTTATACACTAAATCCTAAGGCACATGCATTTTTTTAACTAAAGCACTGTTAACAATCAAAATAATGACAGACTTGTTGTTAGCAAATTGCATTATTTCAGTCAAAAATATTTTTCTGCAGTTTACGCACAGTAGTAGCCTAGCCTATATTACTTGCTTCTGTATATATTGATAATTTCATAATTAGCACTGTATGTACCTTAAATAGATATAAATAAACAATGTTGTTAATATTTTAATTATTTAATATTGTTATGAAATTAAAATGTTTTGCTCTTTGCAAGGTCGCTGGGTGGCGCTACAGACTCTGTTCACCAACCGTAAACACAGACGAAGAAGGAACGTCACCGGAGTGACGAGGTGAATGATTTGAAAGCATTCTGCCTCGTGAGCTTATTAGCTCTTTATGCTTTGTCAGCTTTACTTTTTAGTATTGCTAATACTTAATTTTAAAGGTCTACTGAACAAGAAACAGATTATTTAGTTAATAACAGTTAAATTGCTTACTGCTCACGTGTGTGAATGTCACTTCATATCAGCTGTTATGAAGAAACTCTCATTTCCGATTTCGGTGTTCTTAGTTATTATTTAAAAAAACATCAATAACTAACTTGCTTTCTGTCTGATAATATTATCAGGCCGTCATATCCGATCATGAGTGTCCCGTGTTTTGTGAGAACGGCGGCCAGAAGTATCGCCGGTGGATCAGGACAGTTCAGACTAGCTGTTTGCTGTTCATGTAAAGACACAGTCACACGGTGAGTATCCAGAATTCTGGAGCTCTTTCTACAGGCTTTGGACATGGTGGTTGTGTTTGAAAACCCAGTGAGCTGGCTACCTAGTTGACATGAAAAAAGCAAGCAAAAACATGCTTTCTGGTTAGTAGGGAGCTCACCATGTTCTGAGACACAGCCAGTTCTTTTTGCTTAACTTAAACTTCCCTAAATTTGTTTCAGAAAAATGTCATCCAGGAGACAGACTGACCATCTAGAAAGAACTGCTAGCGTTCATAGACAAATGGTGAGTCTTCTTAGATTTCTTTATGAAACCCTTGACCTGCTGAGCATAGATTCCTCTGTGACTCCTTATAAATGGTTAACAAATGTTGTAGCCAAGCAGGTGAAAGTTCAGACACTTGTTCTGTGTTGTAGGTCAGCCAGTGTGTCATTTGATTTTTGTCATGAGACTAAATTCAAGAGGATGCAATCAGGCATTTGTTTGTTTGTTTATTTATTCACTCTAGATATGTAGCATACTGTATAGTATTCAAGTTCAAGTTCAAGTCTGCTTTATTGTCAATTCTTCCACATGTACAGCACATACATACAGAGAATTGAAATTGCGTTACTCTCAGACCCTTGGTGCATACAGATAACACTAACAGTAGAACATAAAATACAGATAGATACAGATTAAATATAAAATACAACTATACAAATATACAAATAATGTCATGTAAAAAAATAAAATAAAGCAGCACAAGGCACATGGCAGATAGAGTGCAAACCAGTGAAGTGAACAAACAGTGCAGATATAATGATTGTAGTGCAAAAGAGCTTGTTTTGATTAAAGTGACAGTATAGTGTTATTTTATTAAAATGCTATGCCCTTTTTCCTGTCATGCTTTTTCTTGTTATGAATGTGTGTAGAGTTTGAAGTTGTAAAAATGTATAATGGCTCCCATTTGTACATCTGCATGGCATAATGCATTACATTTAAATGCTGAGAGGCTGAAATGTGGGAATTTTGTTGCAAATTCTCTGTAAAGACACAATTTTATGTTTTGTGTGTGTCCAGGAACTTTTCTCAGCACGTGTTTGTGACATTATGAATGAATCTGATTCAGTAAAGAGACTGAGACTGGAGGTGCCACATCCTGACTTCAGCTTCCGCGCTGGACAGTGGTAAGAACTGTAACTTTGTGAAATATGTATTGTAAGTAGGGCTGTGCAAAAAATCGAATGCGATTTTCATGCGCATCTCGTCAGTAAAGCCGCTTCTGGTGATTAGTAGTAAATCTCCAGCACGTGCTTTCAGATGGAGCGGCATTTAATACACAGAACAGTAGATCACTGACAAGCTACACAAAATCGCGTTCAAAATCGCAGGCGATTCATTGCCTCAGTGCTGGAGATTTACTACTAATCACAGAACCGACTTTACTGACAAGATGCGCATGAAAATCGCATTCAATTTTTTGCCCAGCCCTAATTGTAAGCATCTAATATTGATGATAATACTAAATGATATCCAGTATAATCTGATGGGGGTTGTGGGGTACATAGGACAATAACTTAAAAAGCCCTATATAAAGGTGTTCCTAGATGTTACTATATTTTTACTTGAAAGTGACTGATGAGAAGACATGCAGTTTGCAAAATGGCCAGGAGATGGCTCCTCTCACACAAAATTCTCACTTCACCTTGAGATTTGTTATCGGCAAACCATGCAGAATAATGAAAATCTATTCGTGCCACTTTCTCTCTCACTTTTGCTCTCGTTCACGTTGTGCCTTATTGCATTTGTTGTGTATGTGTGTGAGTTTTGAGAGAGCGTGCGTGAGGTGAAAAAGTCAAGCGATGATTTATGCAGATGTATGCACAGAAACTCCTCCAGACCATATGATGTTGTGTTCCTGCTAAAGAACATGAGGAACATGAGTCAAGGAGAGCAGAGCGAGTGGGTGTGTGTGTGTGTGTGTGTGTGTGTGTGTGTGTGTGTGTGTGTGTGTGTGTGTGTGTGTGTGTGTGTCCTGACATATGTGCTTATCACTTATTTATGCTTTGCGTACACATATGGTGACTCTCAAAGCGTATATGTTGCTTTGCTCTTTTTATTAAATATTATTGAGATAAGTAATACTGGACACACAGGTTTTGTTGTGTTGATGTTACTGTGTGGGAAGAATCTGCTTTCTAAACTTTCTAAAAGTACTTTATGTAGTTGTGTTGTTACTTTTGAATGTTAAGTTAAGTTCATATAATATACTCCAGCAGTGTTTCTTATAATATATTATATTATATTATATTATATTATGTTATATTATATTATATTATTTAATTGCACCCTTTTTCACAGGGTGGATTTCTTCATCCCAGGTGTGGATACAGTGGGCGGCTTCTCCATTTGTTCGAGTCCTGGCCTGCTGCAGAGAGAGGGAGTGATTGAATTGGCTGTTAAATACACACGCCATCCTCCAGCACACTGGATTCACACTAAAGTGAGTGAATGAATTAAAAAGGATACACTACTGTTCAAAAGTTTGGGGCTGGTAAGAATTTTTTATGTTTTTGAAAGAAGTCTCCTATGCTTACCAAGGTTGCATTTATTGGATCAAAATACAGTAAAAACTGTAATATTGTGAAATATTATTAAATTATTAAATAATATTGTATTAAATAACTATATTAAATAACTTTCCTGTTTTCTTCAGTGTCAAATGATCATTCAGAAATCAGTCTTGATATGCTGATTTGGTGCTCAAGAAACATTTCTTCTTATTATAAATGTTGCTGCACTGATGCGCTGCTTAATATTATTGTGGAAACCATGACACATTTTTTTCAGGATTCTTTGATGAATAGAAAATTCAAAAGAACAGCATTTATTTGATATAGAAATCTTTTGTAACATTATAAATGTCTTTACTGTTACCTTACTGACTCCAAATTATTGAGTGGTAATTGAATTAGTACCATTTTTCAGGTTTTCATTTTGTTTTTATTTTTAATCTTACACGTTTTATTGGAATTTTTAAGAAAATAAATTAGTATATTTTCAGTATTTTGAATATCCTGTTTCATTCATAAATATGTATCATTACAAAAGTATTTTATATATGTACAACATTTCATGCAATTATTCTACTATACAGAAAAAAATGTATTTTATTCATTAACCTTTATTTTAAAGGTTTCTGTTGTATGCTACTATTTTATATATTTTATCAAATAATTGTAATATTTTTTTTGTAAATTGCACTATTTCAGTGCTCTGTGGACTCTCTGGTAACTGTGAGGGTGGGAGGTAACTTCTACTTTGACCCTCAACCTTCTGACCCTGTGGTGGACCTGTTGCTGATAGCTGGTGGTGTTGGCATCAACCCTCTGTACTCCATTCTGCTGCACGCAGCTGATCTGCTTAGACACACTCATGTTCACAGGTGCGCTCCAGGGCACACGCACCTGTGCTACAGCGCCAAGAACACCAAAGAGCTGCTCTTCAAGGTATGTATGTACCCTTGACTTGTCATTGAAATGAGATTGAAGCTGCCGACTGATTTTTAGATATTTGCTGTCTTCAGAACACCGTTATTGACATTTGTCATGAGCGACCAGATAAATTCTCCTGCGATTTCCATGTTACCCAACAGAGCTCTGACATAGAGCAGGAACTTCAGCCTTACACCATAAGTGAGTTGCACACATCAACATTTTATATTTTGATGACCTATAATCTGCAATCTTTTAATTCATTGAACTATTTTTAGATGTGACGTCACATGAGATTTTCTTGTGTCTTTTCAGATGGAAGGATATCAGAAGAGGAACTTAAGCGCCATGTAGATCCTGAGCACACATTGTGTTATCTTTGTGGCCCTCCTCCTATGATAGAGAAAGTGAATTCAGACCTGCAGAAAGTCGGCCTATCAGAGGACAGAATCCTTTTTGAGAAATGGTGGTAGCTCTACAACTCAGATAATCACAGCGATGGATGCATCTGCATCATCATAGAAACAGACTGTAATGGCAATGGACCAGTAAAGCCTTTGAGATCAACAGACGCTATGTCTGCATTCTCCACATTTAAAGGGTTAGTTCACCCAAAAATGAAAATTACCCCATGATCTACTAACCCTCAAGCCATCCTAGGTGTATATGACTTTCTTCTTTCCGACGAATACAATCGGAGTTATATTTAAAAATGTCCTGGCTCTTCCTAGCTTTATATTGGCAGGCAGTGAATGGGTGATATTCAATAGTCCAGTAGAAGTCCAATAAAGTGCATCCATCCATCATAAAAAGTGTCCCACACGGCTCCAGGGGGATAATAAAGGCCTGCTGAAGCCAATCAATGTGTCAATCAAATGAACGCGGAAGCACAGAGGAAAGAGCAAAACAAAAAAATGGTTACGAATTAGAAGTACAAAACGAGGATTTGTATAGAAAAATGTCAGAGGATTTCGATATAAGCCAAGAGGAGACTGGTTTTCCTTTGCTAAACAATGGAAACTTTGATTCCTTTGCTTCTGTAAACAAACCTTGGTTCTCACGAGACTATCATATTCTAGTTAGTGGAAGCTAGAGATTACTGTTTATAAAGTTTTAAATATGGATATTTTTATTACATAAATGCATCGATTCGCTTCAGGAGGCATTTATTAACCCCCCGGAACCGTATGGAGCACTTTTTATGATGGATGGACACAGTTTATTGGACTATTGAATATCACCACCCATTCAATAGTCAAGAGGAGACTGGTTTTCCTTTGCTAAACAATGGAAACTTTGATTCCTTTGCTTCTGTAAACAAACCTTGGTTCTCACGAGACTATCATATTCTAGTTAGTGGAAGCTAGAGATTACTGTTTATAAAGTTTTAAATATGGATATTTTTATTACATAAATGCATCGATTCGCTTCAGGAGGCATTTATTAACCCCCCGGAACCGTATGGAGCACTTTTTATGATGGATGGACACAGTTTATTGGACTATTGAATATCACCACCCATTCACTGCCATTATAAAGCTTGGAAGAGCCAGGACATTTTTTAATGTAACTCCAATTGTATTTGTCTGAAAGAAGAAAGTCATATACAACTAGGATGGCTTGAGGGTGAGTAAATCATGGGGTAATTTAAATTTTTGGGTGAGCTATGTCTTTAAACAAACAATTCTCTAGACACTGTCCTGTTTTTGTTATACCTCATTTTAAAGATAGACTCAACAAATTGACCATAAACATAAGCATTGTAATGCTCTACATTATAGTTCATTTGCTGGTTAATGGCATAGCGTCCTGCTTCAAGGGCATCATAAGAGTAAGTGCAATAATATTGCACTAGGTGTTTCAGAGATCTGTGTGTAATGTTGTAATATGTTGTTTGCATTTTAGAACACATATTTATTCAGTAAAAATGTTAGGGGCATGGAAATTATCAGTTGTGCAAAATAATATAAAACATTTTTGCTCGTGAATATAGTCCTAATGTACTAAAAGATGCTAAACATGGTCCCTTTAAAGGGATATTCCACCCCAAAATTAAAATTCTCTCATTTACTCATGCTCATGTCATCCCAAATGAATGAATCTTCTGATGAATTCAAACTGAGATTTTTAGTAAAGTAATTCATTAATCCATATAATACAAGTGGATGGAACCCTCAAAGTTGATGCTTCAAAAACCACACCAAGTGACCATGACAGCACTCATATGACCCCAGCGGATGAGTCAATGTCTTCTTTAGCAAAACGATGGGTGTGTGTGAGAAAAATACTAATATTTTTACTTTTTAATCTATAAACCATAGTTTCTGGCTAACTGATGGTTTCATCCACTTCCATTTTATGGACTCACAAAGATTATGTTTTTAAAAATCTGTTTGTGTTCCACAGAAGAAGGAAAGTCATACATATAGGATGCCATGAGGGTGAAAAATGATAATTTTTATTTTGAGGTGGATTATCCCTTTAAGGCAAGTCAGTTCACTTGGTGGCCATATTTGTAACATCCCATGGGTGGCTATTTCCATATTTGCAAGTACAGCTCCCATCTACCTAAATTATTCTACAAAATCTACAAAACAAAAAATCTACATCTACAAAAACTATTTTAGCCTTGCTTTTTTTTAACTGTAAGGCAGGACTACAGCTGCCATTGTTAACTTTATTTAGCATCATTTCCAATCAAAATTAAACTCAAACTATGATTATCTCCCATTTAATGGGAAGGATGTTTTTTAAAAACTGGATTGATGAACAAGGTCTTCACCACTAATGCTGCTGAAATGTTTGAAAAATGACACTGAAAACAGAAGAAAACTGCAAGCTGTTTCTGTAAATGATGCGCTTTTAATTTGCATCAGAAGCCCATTATTGAGAGCTTTTATTTACACCATTAACTGTCTCACAGACGTGCACTTACTGTTACTTTACAAATTTAGACATTAGTTACTGCCATCCTCACTGATATAAATAAATGAAATAACTGATGCAATACTTACTGATGAAATAAATGAACATCTTGTGGATTTTATGCATTTGAGCTAGTGCACGATATATTGCATACACTAATACTGTATGTAATAAAATGAGTTAACATCACAGATTCACACAGGTACAAGCCTCAACACATTGGTCAGCGTTTAGCATATTGAGAGCCATTTGTTACAGGAATTCACCTTAAAAAACCCAAATAATTAGGAGTGGCAGGATTCTAAAACCACTTTGCAATCTTACAGACAAGTTACTCTGTCAGCAGATGTATATGCCCAGACACGGGCCTGACGAGAGTGTGTTCTGCCTGAATAAACATGAACATATTGTAATGGTTAAATATCCATAAATTAATACTGTCAGCACACTCCAGAGAATAAAGCTCTCTCTGTTACGACCGCTCGCACGTCCTCATGTTTACCACATGTAATTGTGCTCTTTAATTCCTGATTGCCGTTTGTAATTCCATCCTTTTTTGCTGGGCTGATGTTTGAGATGTCGATCCTCTGCCTGTGGAATTCCACCGTCCTTTCCGCTTGATATCTCCTCTCTGGGCTTTCTGGTAAATTTTGCCCATTTTCCTTCTGGATAATCTCACGTTGTCTCATCAGACTTGTGTTTTCTCTCTCCATTCGTTCCATTTCTCTCTCAATTGTTGCCAGCGGTGATATCTCCCTCTCTGGTGTCCTTTTATTATTGAAGTTCCTTTTGTTTTGACCTCTGAGGTGCAGTTTCTGGAAAACATACACACAAACTGTCAGACACTGTGCTACTTTTGAAGATTTTAAAGTGAACTGACAATGCTATTACAATTTCACACAGTTCTCTAAGACAGCTCTCAGCACTAATCTAATTTTAGCAGAAATAAACTTTGTGCCATGTATACACACAGTCAAGTCTCTCCTCTTGTGAGGCAGCGTGGGTCTCTGGAGGAAGAGGATCTGTTTTGTGGCCAAACTTCCATCACTAAGACAAAAATAAATCGGAGGTAATAAAATCTGTAAGAATTTTTTTTTCTTTTCTTTTGACACAACTGATAAGTTTTTTTGCAGGTAATATATATCCTATTATTAGCCCCTGAAGTGCAACAGTGAATGTAATGCTCTTGTTTAAAGGCATAGTTCACTCAAAAATGAACATTTTATGAAAATTTACTTACCCTCACGTCATCCAAGATGTAGATGAGTTTGTTTCTCCATTCAAATTTGGAGGAATTTAGTGTTACTTCACTTGCTCACCACATCATAAAATGTAATCCACATGACTCCAGTCCATCAATTAACATCTTATGAAGTCAAAAGCTGTGTGTTTGTAAGAAACAAATCCATCAAGATGTTTCTAACTTTAATTAGTTGCTTCTGTCTAAAATATGAGTCCCTTTATCCATAATATTGCTTTCTCCAGTGAAATTGATGGGCTGGAGTCATTTGGATTACTTGTGGATTATTGTGATTCTTTTATCAGATATTTGGACTCTCATTCTGACGGCACCCATTCACTGCAGAGGATCCATTGGTGAGCAAGTAGTGTAATTATATATTTTTTCCAAATCTGTTCTGATGAAGAAACAAACTCATCAACATCTTGGATCGAGAACAATTTTTTCAGCAAATTTTTACTTTTGGTGAACTCTTCCTTTAAGCGTTTAGTATGGATTTGGAACCTTTTCATTTTGACGATGGGAGTGGGCAGAACACACATTAGTCTCCAGCCATATGGAGCCAAAGACTGAAGCAGAGGGATGTAGTCTGTTTTCACCACAACACCCTGCAAAACAGAAGTGTCATTTAAACAATGTGTTAAAGGATTTCACTAATGTCCTATTGAGACATATCGCATGAATGTGCACATGTGTCTGCATTCATTTAAAAGGCGGTTTGTAAGAAGAAAGGTGTAAATGTTCCACAAATAATAATTAATTAAAATTCTATTTGGGATGCACCACTGCAGACTTACATCAATAACAGTCCATTGCTCAACTACAATGGCGTCATACACTGCGGTTGGCCTGGCATCACCTGAAGCACTTTGGAAGATAAAAACACTCTCCACAGTGGAAGAAGATGCTGAAGATAGAGCAAGAAAAGGATTGGAAAATGTTGATAGGGATGGTTGATCATTTGTTTTCAGAGTTATCTGGGTAAAACTGCTGAGTAGGTTAACAAAATAATTGAAAATGTATTATTCTAGTTTTTATTATTCATTAATTTTTTATAGAAGTTTATGCAGTTGATCTTTTCTATATTTTTATCTCTACTTTATTAAAACTTTTATATTAAGCAGTGGCGGTTCGTGGGTTTTAAAATAGAGGAGGCACACTAAGTGTATTGGTCTGGGATCCCTGCCGATTATTATTATTATATTATTTGCTTAACCACTTTAAAATGGCTTTTTGGTTGCTTTTAGTCAGAAAACGTAAAGAAAACGACATACATACAGCAAAATAATATAATTTCACTTACCTGGCCTATCACTTGAAGCAAACATCCATCCCTTCTTAAAAGTCTGTGTTAAAAGAGAGCTGCCTCCTATATCCAGCTTAGGCTGTTTACTTACATGGTAACTCCTCAGGAACTGTCCACTTAATATAAAGTGTAACATTCTGGACCCCAACCACAATTTATATGTAAAGCCTAACTTACTTG